TCGCATGAAGCTATAATTTGCACACCATGTACTTCAAGTACTAAACTGCCAATCTAGCGAAAAAAAATGGTAGTCAAAAATTTGATCGTAGTAGCACTTTAAGTAGTACAGGGCTCAAATCTCCTTTTAATTCATAACAGGCAATTTGAGCCGTTAAATACGCAAGGGAAGGATTTAACAACAGTTTTTTTTAAAAAATTAGAATTTTAATACAAGGATTTGTATGGAAAACCATGCAAGCGCGACCGGATTGCAAAAGTTGTTTTTCTCATAGAATTGCTTCTAACTTTCGGCGGCCGTTGAAATCGCTACTTTTGAGATATAAGGCTGAAAATTCTCAGGTTACCTAATTTTAATATGCTCTTTCAGCTTATGCTATCACAGGCAGCCCAAGCGCACTATGTGTGGGTTCGGGCTTCAGAGGTCATTTGGTCGGAATATACTAGAATTATTAGTGTATTATCTGATGCCAAATAAACGCAAAAATCTTAAAGGTATGAAGTCTTCTTGTTTGTCTTTCTGTACTAGTAGCCTTTAAGATAACGAAGGTCGATATTTCTTGCATTATTACATGTGATTCGGGCCCTTAATGTTCGAATTTTGTCACATGTATTCGAATCTACAACGCTAGCTAAGAGAAAAAAATCATGATCACGCGAAATATTGATTCAAAAAGCTCCCTTACCTTTAGTTCATAGCCACTCTGTGTCCTACGGCCGGTTTAAACGCCGTTTAGTCGACTTTCTTTCCATCGAGTACTGAACACTATAAAAGAAGGGGTTAGGGTTTCTTTTATAGTGTCCAGTACTCGATGGAAAGAAAATCGACTAAACGGCGTTTAAAACGGCCGTAGGACACAGAGTGGCTATGAACTAAAGGTAAGGGAGTTTTTTGAATCAATATTTGGCGTGATCATGATTTTTTTTTTCTTAGCGTTGTAGATTCGAATACATGTGACAAAATTCGAACATTAAGGGCCCGAATCACATGTAATAATGCAAGAAATATCGACCTTCGTTATCTTAAAGGCTACTAGTACAGAAAGACAAACAAGAAGACTTCATACCTTTAAGATTTTTGCGTTTATTTGGCATCAGATAATACACTAATAATTCTAGTATATTCCGACCAAATGACCTCTGAAGCCCGAACCCACACATAGTGCGCTTGGGCTGCCTGTGGTGCTATCAAAATTTTTCAAAAGTGAACTGTTTTCGTGTTTACCGAAAGTTGATCACGTGATCAAGTGATGCAAAGAGCCTATTACCAAGTGGCATTTGATGACATACGTCAACTTGCGTCCCTCACCCTCGTAGACGCAAGGACGATAGAATGTTCGTGGTGAAAGTTTACTGTAAGATCTTTCATCAAGATCGTACAGCAGTACTGAATGTCACCACGAACATTCTATCGTCCCGACTAACCGGCCCCTGGGTCTTCCAAGGAGAGAAAAACTTGACTAATCTCGTACCCAGATCTCACTCTGTTAATCTCGTACCCAGATCTCACTCTGTTTTACACTTGGCCGTGGGAGATCTGGGTACGAGATTAAAACTTGACTCGATCTTTTTCACCAATTGAATTACATCAGTGTTAACTTTTAAAATGACAAAACTACCACACGATAAAAATGTTAAAAAGTGTTAAACAATAAAAATCGCCAACGATAAAAAAATATTCACAGCGCTTTTATTTTGAGGGTAAAAATTGTTTGATTTGGTGTTAAGTTGAAAAATATACTACGTGTGTAATCAAAAATATATTGCAAAACAAGTCAATCTTTCTTTTTCATGCCTGCGGTGTTCAAAAGCGCTGATCAATTGATAGCCTCCTAAGACTTGAAAAGAAAGTTGTATTCCAGTTCACTTCGTAGTTATTTATTAAGAAAAAGTCAGTTTCAAGAAACTCGTTGCGTACTGCCACGTATGGAGATGGCAACAATACACCTTAATTGTCAGGTAGATTACTTTAACTTTTTAATACCTTGATTTTGTTGCTCCAGCTGTTAACTTAGTACCATGAACAACATTTACTTCTCATGGAATGGGTGTGAAACAGGTGATCCGTTTCAATACGTTTCTCAGGCAACCTCTCTTATCTTAAAAATATGTTTAATATTTACAAAGCTTTGCTTACATTTAGGAACATTGGTAGTTTGATATTTCAAACTTGACCATTTGACGGTAAATAATTTCCAGGAAATTACTCTTATATTCATTTTTAACATTTTTCCGGTATTTTCTCGTGTTATTAACTCAATTCATTTAGTTAATAGTCCATTAATACTCAAAATAATGAGAAAAATATTTAAATAATAATAGTCAGGAAATAATAATAGTCAAAATTCTCAGGTGTCTGTTACGTTAAACCTCTATTGTTGGAGCTTCTGGCTTGGCCTCTTACATGTAACGACGTACTACATTTTTAATTTGCATTTTTAATTTGTCCTCTACACGTCTGTAGCTGATTTATCGAAATGGTTTACCTGTCATGCATTAATTCGTTCGACAGGTGTCCTTCTGCCGTTTTACATCATGAAAAACTAAAGCTTGAAACATTCCCATGTCTGTACTTTTCTTACTGTCATTGTAAAAAATCAGATGTACGAATAATTCTGTGAGTCCGTCGCTCTCTTTTTTCATACTGACTCAACGACCCAAGATTTAAACCGAAATTTTAGGAAGGGAATAATTTCGACGAAGTAAACGTCTCGAATGTCTCATGCAAATCACAAAGACTCAAACTCTCCGGCCAGTACTTTTCTTTTAGAAAATGGAAAAAGGCACGGGAAAAAGGTTGAGAAGACTTCTTACGTACACATTAAAATAAATTTGAGTTTTATAGATGAATCTTTGTTGACTTCCCTTGTTTTCATTTTGGCGTATTAGCATACGAGTTGATCTATGGCTGACATAGCTGAAGTTAACTCGAGCAATTTTGTGCAATTTTAAGGTTCTAGCAAGCAATATCTAAGGAAATAGGAAATAGCAGTCAGTAAAAACTGCGAAATTATGCATCAGTCAATTCCAGCTGCGCCCAGCCCCCACCCCCCTGGGCTACTGCGGGACATTTCCCGCCTTACCAGTCCTGGGGGTGTGGCGCTTGCAAATTTTGCGTTGCCCGGGGGCCGGGCATTTGCCAACCCTGAACTTTTGACACGCACGCGGTTTCCTATCAGAACATAACTACACAGCTGGGCGCGGCCAGCTAGAATTGACTGATCCATTACTGGATGATAAAAAAGTTAAATGAGCCATACTATGTTTTTAAAATATCGAGTTTTTAAACGAGAATATATCCCCGACCGGAATCAAACTTTCAGAGACTTTTGATATGGTTATGTTATGCTCTTTCGATATTACTGAGACAAAAAATGTGACCTTATATTCGGCAAAGGTAACAAGAGATTGTGGTCCGACCTTAGCTCTTGAAGTCAGTAGCATTGCAGTAGAAAAGAAGAAGCCAACTGGAAAAGCAGGACGACTGTATACTTGGTCATTTTGATGAAGGTATAAACCAGTCCCCTCCACGGCCGTTTCTTCAGCATAAATCTCAAGTGCTCGATGTTTGGCAATATCTCGAAATTCGTTCTCAACCATATTGATTAACAGCAACTTTATACCGCAATTTGTCGTTAGTGACATTTCCAAATATCAGGTTAAGTGAACATGAAAAATGAGTTCAAAAGTGAATTCGCCATAATGTACCTGAAATAGCACTGTATAACGAGAAATATCGTTGGGATTTTATAGCAAGGAATTGCGTCGACATTAGAAAAACGTCGGCGAATCAGTTGACGCAGAAATTTGGCCTGCGTGCAATCACACATCATTCTCTGAGAAAAATTTGAACAATTAATCCTAAATTTTTAATCTCAATTTCCGCCCTCATTGTGAAGGAGACTTTTATGAGACCTCCGACATACAACAGTAATCATGGAGAATCTTTTGCTGTGAACCTGATTGTATCTTTCTGTTTAGTTTAAGCTTGCTATGAAATGCCGTTAAACTAGAACTGTCCAAAATACCAGACCAGAGTCCCTTCAGTTTTCATACTGTCAGGGCCATAACAGCTCAATTATTTCTCCTTGACAGTATTCTAGCGAAGTGTTTTAAACATTGTAGATCTGAGCTACCAGTTAACTATATCAGGCAAGCAAAAAAAACAACTACTTCCAGTCTTGTAAAATAACTACTTTTTATTGGAGCAAATATCTTCACAGTGAATGAACGAGTACATCAGTAAAGAGACCTCGTATCGAAGATGTTGACAGCTCAATGAATGGCAATTTTGATTTCCGGTAGGTTCGTCACGAAATTTGCAATTGGTCAAATCATGGCTGAGCGAGCGAGAGACTGGGTCGGTGTTCAGAGAAATTGCTTTATGTGACTGTTTTGAAGGACAATTTTTGACACCCAATTTCCTGCGCAACCTCGCAGTAGCCCAGTCTAGTCCCTAGGAATTTTCTCATGCCCGGTTGTCTGCGCCAAGTCTGGAAAAGGGTGACTCTCGGTGATTCTCTCTCGGTGGCGTCTCAGCTCTAGAGTCCAGGTTTGACCAGGCCAAAAAATGCTTAGGGACTAGGCAATAAAGAGGCAGTAATGTGCCAAAACAATCCCATAATACAAATCGGTACAAGAGCTGACCCAGCTGACCCAAAGGCGAAATGGCTTATTGGTAGCTACAATCCACTTCTATTTTTAGGACTTTTAATCATTTTTTTTTTATGATAATGAAATCATTTCTTGTCGTGAGAAAAAAAAGAGGGAAAATCACCCAATTTGGATCGGTACGGCAGTACCGTGAGGAAGGGTAAAACGAGTTTTATTGCATGGGAATAAAGTATCTTTACGGGGAGTGAACTGATATCGACATCACGTGATTCACGTTCACATTAGTTTCTGGCTGTTGCCAGAGTGGTTGCCAAGGGTCTCAGGTGGTTGAAAGGAAACTCAGAATTGTTCGGTTAAAACCACAAATCCTGATGCACAAAACGTGTTTTACGTCTCTTGCATTCGCGGTGCTTTCAACTTTCTTTCTGGTTTGCGAGAATCAAGTTTCCTTTTTCTGGTTTCCTTCTTTGCCAAGTTCTTTTTAATCTTCTTACGAGCACTCTTTGCCGGATCCGCCACAGCCTGAGAGAAGAATGGTAATAAATGTTTAGCCTAAACTTTTAAATTTAAGTTTGCTTCAAAGCTGAAGTTATTCGCTGGTGGCGTGGAAAATATTTGTTAGTTGAAATTCACTGATTTCACATTTCCCAAAATACACCCTTCTACCCGCCCCCCCCCCCCCCCCCCCAGAGGAAAAGAGGTATAAAATTTTTTTCTTAAATTTTTTATATTTTGTTTTTTTCAAACATGAGTGTTTTTCCGGTGGGGGTGGAAAAATTTTTTTTGGTGAAATCCCCCCTTTTCCCTTTTCCCAAAAAAACCCCCCCTCCCCCCCCCCCCCCCCCCCCTCTTTTGGCAAAATCATTCTTTATGCTTTCTCGCTAGGTAGTACATGCGTCCCAAGAGAAATTGAAGATAAGGCTTACGACGCAATTTTCTTTAAGGGGGAGGGGGTAACAAGGTGTATTGTGAGTAATGTAAAAATGGTGACTGACAAGGTAATTTCGCCCATCTCTACCATGCCTACACATATCAGCGCTGTCAGTTAAGATTTTTAAAAATCACTTGACTCACCTCTAATGCTTTCTTTCTCTTCCTTGTTTCCCGTGTCTCTGTAGCCGTTTGCTGTAGGTTGGCGTACGCCCGGGAGAAAGCTTCCCGCCCAACGAGACCTTTTATGAGATCTAGAACGTCCTGTGCAAGAGCCTTTAGATTCGAATCTGCAAGAGAGAGAGTGTTTAGAATAAGACAACTAGATCGCTCTCACATCATCATCATCCTTCGACCACTGGTGTGGACAGGACGTTCACGGGGATCTCCTCCCAAACATCACGGTTCGCCATCGCTGTACTCAGGTCCCTCTGACATATCAAGTCCTGAATCCCTAGCACTCACTCCGGGGTATGGTAGTTTACTTGAATGCACTCTCCCCACTGGGCGCCAGAGGATGAGAGATGAGATTATTTCTTTATCTGCCCAATAGCAATGACCAGCAAACTGGAAACTGAGAGGTGTTGGTCCCCCATAGATCCCCTCAAGCGTCCAATGGTCTCTACAAGGACCACCTTCCATAACAAGCGTTATTTTGTAACTTCATTGCTTACCACTGAACTGATCATATCCTGAGAAAAAAGCCGACATTTTGCAAGACTACCACTGGTTTTCTCGCAAAATAGAGAGCTCCAAATACGCGGACGACATTTAATTTTGAGTTTACTTTCCTATTCTCTAAAAATAGGCACCCCGGAAAGCATCTTTGTCCTTTTTTTCACCATAAAAGTTTGTACGCTTATTTCCGTTGAAGGAGGTAAAGCCCTTTCCCGATCGCTAAATGATAAAATTTCTTACATTTGATAACTTGTTCCCGCCACTACGACATTCTCGCTAAGACTCGTAGTAGAATGACGATGGCTATCACATTTTCCCGCCAAAATGACGTTGGTTCGCGCGCGTGCACTTCTCAGTATTGGGAAAATCTGGTTCTCGTAGTCGTCTTCGTCTTAGAATCTAAAGCTCTCCATTGGCGTCTGAGGAACGATCGCAGACATTCCATACTGAGGGCGTGCCACTACGCTCTTCAGAGTAGCGCTTCTGACTGGTTGAAAGTTTACTTCATCCAAACAGAAGTTCTACCCAGATCTGGGTGGTGACGCGTCATATGTATGGAATTTCTGCGCCCGTCTCTGAAACCTCATTACGCGAGGAAACCAGTGAAGGTGTTGCGAAATGTCGGCTGTTTTCTCAAGCTAACTTATCACAGAATTGATTACATTTTTAGTGCGTTACCTACTAACGTACAACAAGAAAGAAACAAGTTTGTACTCACTCAAGGGAAAACCTTTCCTATTTACAGACCAAGATGTGTTATTACAGGGAAAGTGCGTAAGAAGTGATTACCTTTATAGGTTGTGACTATATCTAGCTCTCTGTGGACTGGGCCGAGAATGTCCTGAAGATAAAGTTCAGTGGAGTCTTTTCCCAAACTAATAGACACTGCAGCCAGCCATTTTAATACGCATGCTCTCTACAAGGTAGACAACAAATGGGGAAATTAAATTGGTTAAATTGAATGACAACTCCCGCGACTCCCGCGACTGACAAACAGTACCCTGAAAAACTCCATACACAGTTATGATTTCAACAAACATCAAGCCGGGTTGTTAAAAGCTGGGTAAGATAACCAAGGGTTAGTGCGAAATTTGAATTCAGATATTAAATTTTAAAAAGCAAATTCACTTTAATTCGTCTTGTCTACAATTTAATGTTTGGATGCTCTAAAAAGAACAGAGAAAATTATCCGAGAAAGCGCTTTTTAACCAAAGAAAAAGAAACCTGGATAAAAAGTTCATCCCGGCTTGGCGCTAATCGGCCTTCTAACAACTGGGCCCAGACTTTTTAGGCCTCAACCCTAAGCGAAAAGACCGCAAAGTAGCTACAAATCCTTTGCAATTCGGTCATGACTTCGCAGATGTTAATGCCACCCAGGCCTGGATTGATATAAGGCTGAGTTTAGCTTGCGCAGCAGACGCAAGTAAACTTCTGATTATTTGATAACGTCTACGACGCAAGCTAGGCTAAGATTCTGTTCACACGGGTCAAGACAAATTTTCGAACGGACACTGAAAAACTTGCGCGGATCCGCCTTTCGTTTACACGGGACGCGCGGAACCTTGCAAGTTTTTGTATGGACTCGTGTAAACAGTACTGCAATCTGTAGCAGAATTTGCACGGTTCCATGTAAACGGGCTGCACAGGTAAAAAAATTCGTCCGTTCAAAACTTTGCCTGGACCCGCGTAAACAGGGGTCTTAAGGGTGATGTTACACGAGACGATTCGCAACGACGATTTTTAGGGCAAGACAGCGTTGCAACATTGGTGCGACATTGTTTCAAAAAGTTACAACATTGTTCTAGCATTGCAAAGCTGTGTTGCGCTAAAGATTTTCATTGCGAATCGTCCCGTGTAACATCACCTTAAGTTTGGTAAATATTTCATGAAAAGCCCAAATTGTTATGCGGTCTTGTGATGAGGGCTTTCCGACACCGTTAATTGAAATAGCTGTATATTCTTCCCACAGTATACGTTCCTAGAACAACAGACCATCAAAAAATAATACACAAAAAATCGCACAATTTACATATCAACGCAATACTATGGTAAAATTGTAGTTATATTTAGGGTTAGCAAAAGGTTGTCTGCTTCAATTCTTGACTAACCTTTTGAGTGTGTTTCGGAGTTTGTGACGCTTCCAGTGTTGCCATTTTATTCATATTATCCAAGAGGTTCTTTAGAGTGAAATTTTCTGCTTCTTTAGTACCCTCATTTTCACCATTAGAAGCCAACTCCTTTTGCCGATTTTTAGCTCTCGATTCACTTTCTAAAAGCTGCAGTGTCTTGGCCAAGAAAACCAAATTTTTTACAATCTAAACAAGAAGGAAAATGCATTTCAGCGAGGTTTTCTACAGTGTAACAACAACAGCATTTATTTTTTATAGGGTTCCCTTTCTATATAAATCATAATCAAAAGCGCATTACAATGATAACTGGTCTTTAAGGATAAAAATATATCTATATGTAAGATTACCTGTTCGGTAAAATATATACAGGTGTTCTAAAAAAATGTACCTAAAATCTTAACAAAATGCCTAAGAAAAAAGATAAGTCTTAAGTGAACGTTTAAAAGAATCAATATTTTTAGCTTGTCTTATTGGTAAGGAAGGTTGCTCCATGACTGGCGTCCTTAATTATAGCGAAGAGTACAGTGATTGCCTGATTGGGCGCTTTGAGCCTAAAATCACATGTTTGAAAAATGAGTAAATCGAATTGATACAATTCTTAAAGTCGCTGTTTCACGGCTGTCTAGTTCATTTTGTTAATATTACCAATTACTTATGCACTTTCTTATGCACCTTGGAACTTAACGTTAAAGAAGAAATTACTTGAAAACGACAAAACAACAGCTTCATGTCCAACAAATATATACTTCCCCAGCATGTATCGAACATTACAAACAACAAAAATGAAGTTTGACAAACTGCTAGGCTGAGAACGTTTCAAAAACCAACCATTTCAATCCATTTTAATCTTCTTCAAGTTTGTCCATCCGTGCCTACGTTTTTATTTGGGTGTTATTAATATCTTCTTTTAGTGTTATGAGCGAATATTTTTATGTTTCACCCAATTTAGTGGCAGTTTCTTCTGTTAGATACAGCTCCTTTAATTGTTTCATTCTCACCATGTCAGTATCGTTGAGAGTGGATATGCTCTTTCTCACCTGTTCTCCCAATTCGTTTTCCAAAAGTGGCGAACGAAGTTGCAAACACATATCTCCACACAGTTTGGCTACCTATACAGGTGAAAACAAAGGAGTTAGGCTGTTGAACCAAAACATTTCACACATGAACTCTTGACATTAAAATGTATTAGCCATCACATGCAGTCAATGTCTGACTACAACTTACATTGTAATACGCTTAGAACGCAGCCATAGATCCGGACTTTTCATTTCACCTGTTCACTATTCTTTCCGTTTTATCAGTTGTATTGCCGACACTAAAGTAGGAAGCTTAGTATAGAAACATGGGTCGGACGGCAAAGAAAATAGGCTTGTGTATCTTGTACCAAAATCAACTTCTTCTAGTAAACTATCATCTGTTGACTATTGACTACTCAGTGTGACTACTCAGTTGAACGTCTTGAAACGTTTCAGAAGCTGCGCGGTCAAAAAATGCTTCATAGTACGCTGTGATGAGCATTCAAGTCCGGCTTTGAAACCATGACAATGCTTTTTAAGGGGCACATAACTAATTATAATTTAAGACCACGGTTTTTTTTTAATCGCTTGTTATACAAGTGGTCATACCTTTCCAGGTAAACCGTCCTGTAGATATTTCACTGCCGCACTTCTCTTCTGGAAACTAGTCACCAGTTCCTCGGGTTTCCACGCGGCAAACAGCAAACCGAGCAGTCGACTGGAAATTAGTCTTACCCAGGAATGTGGATGCAGTAGGTGCGCTTCTACAGATTCTGTCACAAAAACAGTTTTAAATGTTTAATTAGACGGTGCTAACTTTCTCTTTTATTTGTTTTAGTATTTGTTCTAACAAAAAGTGTTTTTTGACTTAAATAACATAACCCATTAAAAAGGACACTTTCTATGATCTCTTCAGTGTCGACCGTATTAACGGGGTTTGACAGTAATCAATTTTATATGTTTTCCGGGCCGCTTTATTCGTGTGTGATTCAGTTAACATACATACCGACAATCATTTCAAGGAGCTCGCGAGACGCAATTTTAGATGTTACTTTATAGTAGTTGTCACTTGTCAAAACCTTACCCCAAATTTTAGTCATATCCTGTTGCCTGCTTGGGTTCTTGATAACTTGACATTCTTTAATTATTTTGGCCAGAAGAGAAAGCGTATTAAAAAGCAGGTGATCTTTGATGCGCTGAATGTTTCCGGATCCTTTAACGTCTGCTTCTTCTTCCACGATTTCTTCCTGTACCAACAAATTTCCCGTAAAGTATCAGAAACGGTAAAGAGTGTTTCATAACATATGAAACACTGAGTCGAGAGGACAACTGAAAATACGACGGGTTTGACACTGTGTCCCAGGTCGCCATCAGTCACAAACAAAATGATTTTGAAAGAGAGATATAGGCGGCAAAAAGAGAATTTTTTATCAAATACCTCGCCAAGCTAAAACGCATGACCCCCTTCCTTCTTTTATATTTGGATTTACTAACAAGTTTGAGAAACTTGTAAGGTTAGACTTTCCCCGCGGCAAATTCTGAAGTATTAACGAATGATGACGGAGAAGAACTTCATTTCCTGCCTGGCGGCTAAACTCGCGAGCTATAACTTTCATACAGTTAAATTAAGCAAATAAAGTGAAATGAAAACTCATATGTCTTTTAAAATAAAGTAATCAGAAGCTAAAGCCAGTGCGCTGAAGAGCTACCTACGTACCGTTTCGTACTCTTCCGGGGCTATGAGACATGAAACAATTGGTAGTACACTACCAAGTCTTCTCTCAAAATTCTTCCCTTCAACTTCGACGAATAAGCCAGAGACTTGGGCAGCAAGACGCCGTAGACTGATCTGCGAGAGAACAAAACAAAATTGAAAAGAAAAAAGACGTCAACAGTGTATGGTAATAAACGTCCCATAGAAGTTTATGAAAACAAAGTGAAGAGAAATAACATAAAAACAGTAGCCTGCTAATTCTGGAAAACATAATAATTACTAAGCGTCTCTGACGTTCACCGCGACGTTGACTACTTTTTGATAGTCCCCATCAGGCGATTAAGTAACTGTACTAGGATTGTCAGATTTGATTTTTCTACCTCCCATTCGTAATCCACGTCACGACCAAATTGCCACATTACGACGAAACAGTGCTTTCCACACTTGAGGAAGTTCTTTAAAGAAACTTTTAATTACACTCAAAGCGGGCACAGCGTTCACAAGGGGCTTTTTCCCATGTAAATGTGCCTTGGTCCTGTTTATTGACGGTATTGTTAAACCGAAGCTGCCCCATATTTAGACGCGTGCTCTACTTAAGGAAATATATTTGGATCTCTTTGACCTCAAAAGGCCACAGAGAAGAAAAACTAATCTAAGTAAACCTTATCTTTTTACCTTTTCATCTTTGAACCATAACAGAACGATGGAAAATAACTTCTGTCTTTGATCCGCATCAAGCTAAGGATAAAAGCAAAAGAAGAGAATTAAAAATATTACCTTAAAGGAAGAACGAAAAGAAGGAAAAGCTTTACTCTAAAACTACCAGGAAAGCGTTTGACGAAAAAATAACTAAGGTAGAAAGATACTATATATGTGCCACTATAACAAAACTATAATGGGTTCGGCCTAGGTTACTTAACATTTACATGGGAAAACCGGAAATTCTGGTTAGATACCGGTAATCAAATGGTTTTCGCCATCCCGTTTGGGAAGCTTCAGAAAACATGGGATGTGATATGAGACAAAGCAACTATTCTACTCTTTTTAGACGGTTCAGCTTATTTGGATATACCTTGTAGTGGAAATTTCTTCCATCACGTCAAATTTTATAGTATAATGTTTATGCACAATATTTCCACCCGGGTGGTTTGTGTAAATGGTAAGAACCCTACTTTACTTCACCCTCTCTACCCCTGGCACTATCGCGGTTGTGTTATCATTGAACAGGAAAGGATGGCAGGGAAGGAAAGCTAATGGATGGGTTCCTCCCTTTTTTATGCTCTCTATTCGGAGTTGTGAAATCATGAATTTCTCTGATCGGGTGTAATATTGTCCGCGATATTTTTAAGCCCTCTTTTTTAGCCATAGTGAAGACCACCAATTATATTAACTGCGTCTGGAAATCGTAAATATTTTTAAAAACATTTCCACCTTCTCTAGAAGTGACTTGATAGCAAGTGCTGTCAGCTTACGACAACCAGCGGAGTCATCGTTCACCAAGCGAGAAGTCAGCGGTATAAAGAAGAAACCAGCATAGTCAAACAGTAAATCCTAGAAGAAAAATCAATAGTGATCAGAAACAATTATCATTCCAGTTTGGAGTTAATTTCGCCGAAGAACATGAAACAATCTTTACTACCAAAGGGTTCACTTGAACATGTAAACGAGCTGACGACAACAAACAAAAAGTTGCTCATACAACACAGCTATTTTACTAAGGCTCCGTCCACAAGAATCCGCGGACATTTTTGAAACTGCATTTTTTTTGTTTTTGACACGAAACTGCCTTCCGTCCACACGAAACCAGTGAATTTAGTCACCCAATCCGTATCGTTTTGAAGCCGAACTCCAGAGTGGTTTAAGGCCCCGTCAACAAGAATCTGCACTGAAAATTAAAAAGTTCTGTTTCAGCCCCAAAGTGTCAATTTAGCCCTGAAGGCCAAAGTCTGATTCAGCCCCTTCTGGAGCCATTTGAGGACACTGATTTTGGCCAAAACAGCTCAACCAAAAGGCTATTCCAGCCTATGCTGGGGCCCATTTCAGCCATTGGGTCCGAATCAGCCGTAGGTAATTACACTGCATTGGCCCTGATTTAAGGGAGCCAAATTAGACTCAAAAATAGGACTGTATTTTACTCACAGAAAACGGACCAATTTTTAGGGCGAAAACAGATCTTTCTGATTTACAGTGTGGGTAAAAAATAATATGTTGTTTAAAATTGCCCGGATTCGTGTGGCCGTAGCCTAAATCTAGTTGGACAAGAAAATAGTGAGTGTTGAAGTCTCACCTGAAAGAAAATAAAATGTCATATAAAAAGGAAAGAAGTATCCTTTTTTATGTTGGGCTGTTTCATGACGTTTCTCCACGCGTGTCCCATCCAACTCTGTATCTCTAAGCTGGGTTTAAGTAAAGCCATCTTAGCAGTTTTAAGTTAGTTTACTTTCTTTGTAACATCAGTGAAAATGGTTTCTTACCTCGGGAAATGAAGAAAACATAGATGCCAGCATTTCCAGCGCTGATTCACGGCCTGTCTCATGTTCATAGCTTCAATGAAACAGCAAAGAATAAGTTGACACTGCTGACGTTGAGTTAAGAACTGTTATGTATTTTTCGTTTCAGTCTTTAGTTATCAAAAAAATAAACGGTCAGAAATGAGTTTTAACGAGAACAGAGCACCTCAGTCACATAGAGCAGCTATTGATGTAAACAGACGTGATTACAGCCATTTACTTGTATGAAATGCTGAGTACTAAATTTTGGCGTTCGCCAGCCTGGCCCTGAACGGAATGACGTGATCGTAAACGTAAATGTAACATAACCTTTATCCTTCTTAACCCATTAAACCCACATACAAACCCATATACAAATTCTCCAGACGCGAATCTCCATTGATTCATTTTCTTATAGATTAAGTTGAAAGAAGAATCAGAGCATTTTGCCTTTTATGATCATTTTCTTAATTCTCCTAACCTTTTCTCTTGATGATGTATTGAAATTGTTAGGAGAAAATTGATGTTGATCTCTCTTGGGACTTTAAGGGTTAACATACGTCTTTTTAAAAAAACATTAGAGAGCTTTAGATTCTGAGACGAGGAAGACTACGTGTACGAGATTTTCGCATTACTAAGTAGTGTACGCGCGAGAACCAGCGTCATTTTAGCGGGAAAACGTGATAGCCGTCATCATTCTACTACGAGTTTTAGCGAGAACGTCGTATTGGAGAGAACAAGTTGTCAAATTTTAGAAGTTTAATCATTTTGCTACCGGGAAAGTGTTCAACCTTCTCCAATAAAGATATCCTCACTAATTTCTCAGGTGAAAAGTAGTACAATGAAGCTTTCCGGGTTGAATATTTTTCGAGAATACGCGAAAAAACTTATGTTTAATACCAAACTCGTCCTCGTCCTCAAATCAAAAGATGTCTATTGTCTGTTGAAATGAGGTTTGGTTATTAAAGTTGTAAGCGTAAGATGCTTTTAACCATCAAAATATTAATCTCAAGTTATGATTTCTCAATTTAATTTTCGTTAATGTTTAGTTTGCTTTATCTCGCCCTTCTCTTTTTTCCACTTTTAGCCGCTGACAATAGTCGAGCATTAATTACAATGTCTATAACAAAGAGCCCTTACCTCAACTGAGAAACGTAAAATTCCAGATATCTTTGAAGCTTTTTCCCAAGTGGATAGTCCAGCAAGAATTGGAGCATACACTGTAAACAAAATGTAAGTTGTTAAAAAGAAAGCACGCCTTTTCTAGACGTGTACAGTATGACACATACATTTCTCCCTCGTTTAATTTCGGAACCTACTCTTTGTAGGTTAGTATCCAGGCAAGTTGACAAAAATGCAAGACTGCCATAACTGGTTAGCAGTTTTGCAGTGCTAGTCCAGGTGACAAGGACCTTTGTTCGGGAAAGGAATTTTCAAGAACCGTAGTACACTTGGCGACAGAAACAAGGTTAATAGACCTTTCCACGTTTTCTATCTTTTCTAAACTTTTGACATGGACAAGTTAGGGAAAATCCGTAGACTCAACTGGAAAGAGCGCCTTTAAGTTAGTAAAATTGTCAAGTTTGAAGGTGATTTGTCGAAAACTATCGTAGATATAGTTCCTTAAAGACGCGAAATTTTATAGCCTGAGAAAACAGCCAACATTTTGCGAAGCCACCACTGGTTTCCCCGCGAAATGACGTCTCAGAAACGAGCGCAGAAATTCCATACTGATGACGCGTCACTACTCAGATCTGGGTAATGCTTCTGATTGGTCGTGCTGCACGGGAAATTTGATTCAACCAATCAGAAGCACTACCCAGATCTAGTTTCAGCATGGAATTTCTGAGCTCGTTTCTCAGACGTCATTTGGCGGGGAAACCAGTGGTAGAGTCGCAAAATGTTGGCTGTTTCCTCAGGCTAGAAATTTTAACAGACGTGTAAATATTCGCAACTTAACGGAGCAATATCTTTGCTCGTTTAAGACATATCACTTTCAAATTTGGCAAGTTTACTAACATTAAGGCGCTCTTTCCAGTGGTGTCGGCGAATTTTCCCTAACTTTTCCATGTCAAAAGTTGAAATAAACCTTGGAGGGGTCTATTTTCTCGACTAAAACAAAGATAACAACGGTGACAGGGATCTGGTTTTAATCAACGTTCCGTATTCTCACCTGCCTGCTCTGAAGCTGGACTGAAGGTGAGCTACCCGTGATTGACAGCTGTCCAACCTTCCACATGACGTCATGGATTTCTGGTACTACAAGCTTCCTTGAGAGAATTGCCTGTGGAGTTATAACTAGCAAGTTAAGTCATAGTTCTCAACGCTCGAGAGCTTAAGTTGAGCTTAAGCAACGACGGCGACGGCAGTGAAAACGTCGCTAAAAATGAATTTGCGTCCTTTCAAACTTTTTCACCTCTATTTGGACCCGCTTAATTTGTCAAATGTAGGCAATTTTTCCCGAGTTGAATTCTTAAGGAATTAACCCAGGTTAAAAAAGAAAACGGAAAATTCGTCGTCGTATGTTCAAGTCTTTCATAAATCGTGGCATTAGGAGGTCTCACGTCGTAGTCGTGCAGTGGACGTTAAAGAAATTGACTAAAAAGCGTGATACACGTGCAGAGCTGTCGTTTTGCTCATAAAACTAATTAGTTTTTTTGACTTTAACGTCATCGTCTTCGTCGTGGTTGCTTAACCTCCCTAATATCTTAAAGATGAAAGTAAATTTTACACCAGAAAAATAGCCCCTATGGTGAACAAATAAATACCCAAAGGAAACAGGCCTTATAAGGGAAGAATGGCTCTTTCTTTAAGCTTATATCTTCCCGTCGCTGCAGCCCGAGTTTTAACCGGGGATGCAGCAGCAGCAGCGGCTTGTTTTTAATCAGGACTAAGAGCACTTTTCAGAAGCATATATCATTGAACGTACCTTCAGAAGAGGAAAAGCTGTGCCCTGCTTAGTGTGATCGTGAATGTCTTCCTCTACAAAACCTAACAATGCTTGCAGATGCTTCTCAGTCACTGTATATTGTTTGAAGTCCCGTATAATCACGGTCATGGCCTGAGGACGACAAAACAGTAAATTATAAAACAATTTGATAAAACTATTAGATAAGAAGATAGCCTCTATTATTTCTTTGAAAAAAAAAACTTCCTTGAAGTGTCACAATTAAAGCTTCAAAGAGTAAATGAAAAAAGTCAATTACAGGGTCAACTATATCACGACAAAACACAAGCAGAAACAGACGATATATTCAACAAATTTTCATCTTTTACTTTTAACGTTATATAATACTTAAAATGACTGTGATTAAACTTAGCAATGAGACTATCTGCGTCTGATTGAAATAGAAGAAAACTGCCACATCCTCTACACCGGCAATATAACAACCCCAAAATCGATCAAAACTTTGCTAAACAAAAAAGGTTTTCTTTCTTCAAGTCACGGCAAGGCACGATATGGTTAAAACGTCGGTTATAAAGAGCTACGTTTGCAAAGAGAGGTACCAAAAAAGTTTTAATGTGAGAAAGGAAACGTACCTTAAAGGCGGAGAGAACCATTTCAAAGTTCTCCCCAACTTTGGCTCCAGCTTTAGCGTAATTCTTAAGTAATTTGAAGAGTAGCTTTCCCATTGTTGGAACACAGCGTGTTAAAGAAGGCAAGGGAAACTTAACTAACCAGCTAACGCAACGAAGAGAGATTGTTACCACCTGTGGAGGCCAAGAAAGAGTGGATGAGTAAAACTGGATAAAAAGAAAAAAAAATTCCGGTTACTTATACCCTCGAATCTCCCGATGGTTCAAACCAAGATTAAATTCCCTTCCTGTTCCGCAGTCAAAGCAGTAGTTTTACCTCTTTTTTAAAACTTCCCGATAATTCGGGGCAATTTCCTTTTCGCCGAAAGGTTTGTAAAATCGGGATTCTCAAATATCCGCTTTCTTTGAGCCCACTTGGATTCAAGATAAATTTCTGTTATCATAAAATCGAAATTAGCTATTGTCTGTGTAAACTTCCTGGTCATCAAGTGCAGCGAAAACAGCGTTCGGTCTCATGGAGAATACATGAAGAATACAATACGCAAGGTACACCTTCTCACAACACTACGCGCCAAGCAGGAGCAAGGAAAGACGCTAGTGGACGAGTTCGAGGCAGCTGTATAAGATTTTACTACAATACCTTGTTGTATTTTGACTTAAGACAGCCAGTAAGCAATTCAACAAAAGGATCCAACATCCGCTGATGGTCCTGGTCTGACGAGGAGATTTTACCGTGCTTCAGCATCGTTTGCAGCAACTGTGAACAGAACAATTTTAATGATCAGCGATTGGAAATTGACCGACTGCCAATGCCGAAACGCTTATGCCATGAGCACCGAAGAAAACTGAGGAAAAATTAATGTATTGAAGTGAAAAGAAGTTAAGTGAAGCGAAGCGAAGTGAATTGAAGTGAAGCGAAGAGAAGTAAAGTAAAGTGACGTGAAGTGAAGTGAAGTGAACAGAAGTGAAGTGAAGTGACGTGACGTGAAGTGAAGTGAAGTGAAGAGAAGAGAAGTGAAGTGAAGTAAGGAGAAGAGAAGAGAAGTGAAGTGAAGTGAAGTGAGGAGTTCTCTTCTCTTCTCTTCTCTTCTCTTCTCTTCTCTTCTCTTCTCTTCTCTTCTCTTCTCTTCTCTTCTCTTCTCTTCTCTTCTCTTCTCTTCTCTTCTCTTCTCTTCTCAAGAGAAGTGAAGTGAAGTGAAGTGAAGTGAAGTGAAGTGAAGTGAAGTGAAGTGAAGTGAAGTAAAGTAAAGTATAGTAAACCAAAATAAAATGTAACGGCACCAAAATGGTATCGTGATTTTACCTGTAGACCGAACTCAACTAAAATGTGATGATTCGTCTTCGTGCTTGTCACTGGCACATTTCCTCCCCGTGTAGGGGTGGCTGGTAGCAGTAACGAGCTGGCGGGGTGAAGCCTGGGATCGGGTGGTACTGAAGTCTCTTTCTTTTCTCTTAGTTACAAAAAGAAAAAAAGAAAAAAAGAAAAAATGGGCAAAATAAACTAAGGTTACATCAAGCAAAAAAGAGAGCGTGGATAGAAGACGGCTAAGGAGGTGCCCCATTCGTCAGGAAAGTTGTTGAAGATAGGACATTTATAGACAGAAACTTGTTTGATGAAGTAATCCACTTTTAAGGATAGTAAACCTGAAGACTTATCGTGTGAGAAAAAGTGACTTAAAAAAAAATTATTTAAGATCTTATTTTTTTCAAATGGCATTTTCCCTCAAATCTTAGAGCCGGTCTAACGCTTAACTATCTCATTAGCTTAAGTTTTCAGTGTTAGTCTACTCTCAGTTTCTAACAAAGCTTCAGTAATAATGAAAGAACTGTTTTGAAGCATGCGCCATCAGGTGCTGTTTGTCGTATTGACCTTGTCTGTAGTAAACAACTATCCAAATTGAAAATGACTCAGAACGAGGTTCTGTTCACAGTCGCTAAACTCTTTACTGGTCCTATATCTTCTACGCTAGTGAATTGAATATGCTTAGGCTTGTGAGAAGAAGCTGGTAATACATAAATACTACATAATCTACTGAACAGCCGCGTTACTTACACACGTTTGGGTTTTAAAAGAGGGATGTTATCGTGAGTGAGTCCGTGGATGAAAATAAGCATTATCTGCGGTGTGACGCTCGGGTTCGACTGCAGGCCAACTCCAATTCTTCTCAAGACTTCCTCCACTTTACGAGCTGTTTTGTGACTTTGCGTCGAGTCAAGAACCTGCAAAAAGAAGAAACGGACGTTTGCCAAGGAGAGTAGGAGACTTTCTTTTGCAAGTGATATCCCAAGAAAGAAAAACAATAAAAACGAAATGTTAACGAAGTGATGGTGTCCTGATGGTTATGTTTCGGATGGGTGACCTGGAGTTCTCAAGATTATGGCATTGTAAAACTTGTAAATTACCCACGAAGCACTTAGGAGTTCTTACGAACTCGTTTAAACGTGACGGGCGGTCTAACCTGCGACACAGACGAAACTTAACTCTGTTAAGTCCGTCTGCGAAACAGCCTCAAAATCCTTGTTCTGGGCCCTCACCTGTGTACCAGGATTTGAGTACGCGCCATGATTGGTCTGTTAAAAAAGCCATTGTGGATTTACCAATCAGGATGAAAGGGAATTCGACAATGCACTTCCGGTATTTCGTTGAGTTAGATGGAGGCCCAGAACAAGGATCTAAGCGCTGCTTCGCAGACTTAATTAAGGTTAAACTAAGTCTGCGACGCAGGCTTGTGCGTTCCAGATCGAAATGGATTTGGAAGTGTTAGTTTTTGACGAGAGGAAGAAAACTGGAGTACTCGGAGAAAAACCTCTCGGAGCAAAGGAGAGAACCAACAACAAACTCAACCCATATATGGCATCGATTCCAGGACTCGAACCCAGGTCATATTACTGGGAGGCGGTTGCTCTCACCACTGCCCCACACTTGCTCCCCAATAACAATCTCTTATGTAATTTATGCACATTTAACCCTTTGTCCAAATAATGGCTGGTGCTTTTTTTTTATCTTAAACATTACTTCTATCACAGGAGAAATCACAAGTCTTTGTCTTAGACATCGTTTCCGCTTAATTGCCCATATTAATCCTAAAATTTCATCTATAACTGAGAACTTGATCTGCAGTTAACGTGAAGTAATATCTCGATCTGAACGGTGTTATGGTAGCTAAGACAAACCTCTTTCAAAGGAGAAACCAGAACAGTTAATGACTGCGTCCCAACAAATTTACCAAGAATCTCAAAAGTGTCAAAGCTCTTGCACGTTTTAGCCTCTGGGATTTTGTTGGCAATCTTTTCTACCTCGCGCTCCGTGGCTACCTCGCCAAACAGGTCTTCTACCAGCATCTACAAAAAAGATAAATAATATTATTTTAGCACTGTTCAAAAGGTATGGAACTTCACCCACTGAAAAAAAACATAGGCTATTCTCAAAAAAAAATATGACGAAAAGGAGGGCATCGTCCCTATATAACCCGCTGGAAAGGCAACTTGGCCTTGGATCATGCGGCTAAACCCTTTAAACTCTCAAATCAAAATTGAAATTCTTATTTGTCGTCCTCAAACATTTCCTGTAGGAGTAGTAGGGAAAATTTGTTCAATATGGCAAGAATAAATTTGATGCTGGTCTCTCTTAGGGCTTAAAGGGTTAAGGTTGTAATGTTGCGGAGCATATTTTGTAATTTTGCGCTTAGTCAAAACCTTTTTTTTAAGGCGAGTTACGTTTTTGAGGGAGAGAGGGAGGGAGGGGGGGGGAGGGAGTGGAGGGGGGGGGAATGGGAACAGTAACGTAAATAAACCAGAAATACGTTGGGAACTGTGGCCGGCCACAGACTGATAAAGACAACGCATGATCACAGTGTTCTTTATAGGTGCGGTAGTGATGTTTGGGTTGATGAGGGGTGGGGTATGTTTTTTTATTGTGATTATGTGAAAACGCTTTGATTTGTGGGTGTGTGGGGGAGGGAGGGGGGGGGGGGGGGGGGGGGGGGGGGGGGGGGAGGGGGGGGGGGAATGGGAACATTACCGTAAATAAACCAGAAATACGTTGGGAACTGTGGCCTGACAAAGACTGATAAAGGCAGCGGATGATCAAAGTGTTCTTTCTCTTACTTCCGAGTTTAAGGCATTTTCTTTTACAATTGGCGAAAGAAAAAATTGCAGATTTTCCTTTTTTTCCTTGAGTTTTGCGTGCGTCGAGGAAGAGGAAACGTTTACACAAAGCGAATCAAACTGTCAAGAATTTTGAAACTTTTAAACTATATCGAAATTACGTACATTTGGATCCTTCTGAAAATAGAACTGATCGCTCAGCTGTGCAGTTAAATAAGTAACTTTAACAAAGAGAAAACTGTTGAAGAACGCCATAACATATAGAACGGTAGGAAACTCGGTCCGCTTCTCTACAGAGCGCGCAACTCTGGATGTTCAGAATTAATTTAAGAACAAACTGTAATAAAGAAGATTACTATGGCGTTACTCGATTCTAAACAAGTTTCACATTAAGTTTAGACATCTGTCAAGTTTGAGAAAGTCCAAAATTTTAAAATCAAATCATGTGCTTTATTTATTTAGATTCGACGGGCAGAGGATGTATCCAACTAAAAAAAAACACGTATTCGATTTCCACTACTATATTTTTTAAATTTTTTTGTTTATATATTGTGTTTGGTGTCCTTTCCACTTAAAGATAACGAGTTACGCCATCCAATAAATGAAAGGGTTTTAAAAAAACCCTTAGTACATGTTTACCTTTGCACGAACGATTAATTACAAGTACAGAAAAATCGTGAAAACTAAAAAGTGAGGCTTTAAGTTCGTGTTCTTACGTATTGATTTAACAACTTAACGTGCCGCTGACATACAAACATTTGTTTTTTCGTTTCCTGGTTTTACTGTCAAAATGTGTTCTTTTGTACGGGTGTTGGCTTCGTGGACACAGTTCAAAGAACCGAAAACTGTGTTTCTTAATTTTGTGCAACTCTTTGTGAAATTGACCGAATGCCTCGTACTTTGTTCTTTCCTGCAAAACAAAAAACAAAACAAAAAAAAAACGAGAAAGAAAGAAAGAAATAACGTGTTTTGGAAGGTCTCTTCTTTCTTTTTTTTGTTTTAAGTCAAAGCTCGCTTGTTTAAATAGTCGACAGGTGCATCGGGGAAAGGGAAGGGTAATGAAATTTATGCTTTTCCGTTAGTTTGTGTTTCAATTTAACGCAAATGAAAGGTTATTTTATTTCTATGAAGAAATAAGCGTCGTTTTTTCGAAAAGGAAACGCAAAAGAAGGTTATGAAAAAAATTGGCTGGTTTGAACTAGGAAGCCTCAGATGTATATGTTGCGATACTTAAAGTAATATGATAAAGCCAACAGCTGCGTTTGAAGTAGATTTCAAAAACTCCGCTTTGGTTGGTCCTTGCTCCGGTGAGAAAGCTTCTCTTGATTTCGTCGCTCGTATAAGTCCACTTTTGGGCAAGTCTACGTTTCCAGTTGACTTGTTTTCACCAGCCTCTCGTTTGATGATCATCGATGTTTTTACACGCCATTCCTCTTGACGGAATTTTCCATCTGCGACATCCGTCTGTCAATCTTAAGACTGGGGCGGCAAACAGTACGCCACTGTTCTTGTACAGCTTTCAGCTTTCTACACAAAACACTTCAGGCCGACATAAAACTGGGGTACACTGAGTTACAACAGAAAACAGCAGCAACTTTTTCTTTGCCTGCAGGTAGTTTGCCCACCTTTAAGTGCTTATTCAAAAACGTCACATAAAGTAAATATCAGTGACTATCAGCGACATCTTCCACCTCACAAACTGCTAAAACCGCGGTAATACTGAGGGAAGACGGACTAGCAACTGGTTAAAGCAGCACGTTGTGCTTCAGTCGTTTTTATACATCAAATTTTCTCCGACCTAAACTGCTAAACCAAAAGGCTAGGCTGGGCTGCAAAACGGCAACAACTTTTTTCTCGTACAGGAAACTTGTTTCTAGCAGAGAATACAGTGTCAGGTTCCGTCCGTGTTAATGATTATGCTGTGTTAAAGCGTCACATACAAGCAACCTTCGAAGACTTCAAAAGAAAAATTTGAAGTGAAGGTAAATTAACGAGTAATATTCCGTCAAAAGAATCGTTCACAAAGTACATCCTAATATTAAAGACTTTTGAAAGCTGTGTACAGTGGACGTAATACAAGCAACAAGGAAAGTTCCTGTTGGCAAGTGTTTTCCTAAAGTCGGTCAGGTAAAGAAAACACTGGCACTTCCGCTCTTTGACTCTAGAACAGAGAAAAAGACCAATATGAACACATCAAACGAAACAAGAATCGCTGACCAGTTTTGCCGTCCAAATTCCACCGTAGCAGTCCAAACGATTAAGGTCTTTGCGTATGTTATCTTAATACTTGTGTCTTTGATCGGCAACACACTCATTATTGCCGTAGTCTACAAGAACCGCCGAATGCGAACCCCTGTGAATTTTTTTGTGGTCAACATGAGCGCCGCAGATATTCTCATCACCGTGTTCTACATGCCGCGAATGATCGCAAGGACGTTCTTAGGAATGAACTGGGGAGTTGACGGAAATCTTGGCGCCATATCCTGCAAGATAGTACCGTTTGCCCAAGAGCTCTCCGCTTCAGTGTCAGTACTGACCCTTATACTCATAGCTGTGGACCGTTTCTTCGCTGTCTTGTTCCCATTTAAACGCGTCTTCACAAACCGCGTTGCGTACGCTGCAATCGCCTTCGTGTGGCTTTCCGCCTTTGCTGCTCGAGCGCCAATGTTCCATGGCCTTCGGTTCATCATTGATGAAGAGGAGAAAACCCACTGTGCTCTGGAATTTGACTCCGAAATGGCAAACAACTTTTACGTAAGATTCGCTTTTGTAATGTTTTATGTCATCCCTTTGTTCTTCACTGTTGTCCTGTACGGCGCCGTCCTGGTCTCCCTCAAGAACAGAAAGCCAATTGGCGAAGTTTTCACAAACACTCGACGCAAATTCAACAATCGTTTGAAACGAACCCGCAAAGTGATGAATATGTTGTTTGTTATCGTGTTCAATTTTGCAGTGTGTTGGTGTTTGTACTTCTTTTTTCCAATTCTGTTTTTTCGTTTTCGAACCAGGGTGTGCACGCTAGCCTTCCCAGCCCTCTTCCTTGGTCACGTCAACAGTGCAATAAATCCCTGTATTTACCTGATTTTTATCGAAAACTACCGCCGGGGTTTTCGCCAGATATTACACCCGCTTTACAACCGGTGCGTCAATGCTAACACGAGAGTCGAACCTGAGGATCCCTCAGCTGCTTTAAACGGACGACAGAAGCGCATCAATGCCAGTCTGACGTTCGCCACGCTGGATTTCCAGAGAACTGCCAGTACATCCAAAAATAAAGTCTTTTCAATAAAAACATCCATGAGTACAACCCATTCTTAAAATGGTACAATCATGTTGTTTTTAAACAACATGATTGTACCATTTTAAGAAAAAAAAAAATCTTTCATCAAGATACATTATCCCAGTAAGGCGAAGTTCTGAAATAATAAGATTTAGGAGGATCATTCGAAACCGTGTACCTTCCGGCCATATGCTGTACCATCAATACTAGTGAGAACACGAGTTAATAGTATGTTCCTTGAAGTTTGTTAATGGATCTGCCTGCCTTGTTTATTGTGAATGCAATACAAAAGTGCAACTTAAAATAAAAGCTATTTAGAAGCATAATTTGTGGTGCTGTTTATTGGACTTGTTAGATCAGAGGGTGACCAGATGGCAGATTGCACAACGGTAGGCCATTGCACGAGCGCGTTCGAGATAGTGTTGAACATGGCTCTACCACGAATCAATCCCGACTCCGGCGTGAGAGGAAACTGGGGACCATCCTACGCAGACGTTCTTAGGAGTTCGTCACGCGTTCCTGATTTGTGGGGCAGGAACGCGTGACGAACCCCTAAGAACGTCTGCGTGGGAGGCCATTATTAACCAACAAACCTCGCGAAGATTTTTCGCATTGGGGAGGGAAACTTATGATTCCGTGCTCATGAGAACTAGGCAGTCGTGGATTGTAATAATGTCGTAAATTGTAATACCTGTCGTAAAATGTAAAAACAGTTGTCGAGAAGTGTAATAACCAGGCTGACGTAAATTGTAATAACACGTTGTCGCAAATTGCACTGAGCAGAGCTGTCGTAAATTGTAATACAATGGAGTATTTTGTAATAAGTCTTGAAAAAGAAAAATTATCTGCCCAAAACACTTTTAGAAAACTAAAAACTGCTATGTTTAATCCAAACATAACCAAAGGAGGTGAATTCTTGGGTCACTTTAACTGCTTTTAAATTAAACATTGATGCTAAAGCCTCACGCCTCGATTCATAGTTGTTTCCTTGCTCATTATCACTGAATTTCTAATAGGACAATGGATACTTTTCTAAGAAGCCCATTTATCCAAATAAGAAGCTTTTTAAGGACTGTAACAAAGTAAGCTGGCCTTTACAACGTACGCTAAAGTTTTAAGAGCAGCTACCGCGTGTCGAGAAAACAAACGGCAAATTAGGGGGCTGAAAAAAAAGGACTAAGGATATCTGCGTTACTGAGGCCTCTTTTTGTGTTGTGGGGGGGGGGGGGGGGGGGGGGGGGGGGAAAAGAAAAAGCACGGGGGGGGGGGGGGGGGCCCCCTCCCCCCCCACCCCCCCCCCCCCCCGCCCTCTCTTTTTCTTCTTTTTTTTTTTTTTTTTCTCGCCGCCCCCGCGCTCTGTCCCGCCTTGGATGCTAGTAAAATCAGGTTGGAATGTAGATGAGTAGGAGGTCACATGTCGATAGTAAGAAAAAGGGGATGACACGAAACGAATGTGCGAGAGGGAGAGGATGGGGTTAGGAGGTGGGAAAATAGATGTGTGGGTTGTGTTTTGTGTGGGTGTGGGTGGGGGGGGGGGGGGGGGGGGGGGGGGGGGGGGGGGGCTGGGGAGAAAGAAAAAGAACGCGCGCGCGCGGGGAACGCCTTTTCCCTCTTCCCATCGTCCCCCGCGCGCTTTCTATTTTTTCGATTATTGCTATTTTTATAGGGATACCCAGCGCTGCGTGAGCCTCTGCGGAGGAGACAGCAACAGATGAATGAAGGGCTCAGTGGTACTGCGTTATTTTTAGTCGGCTACACAGTCATTCTTTGAGTCGTCACGCAACGCTCCTCCCTCGTTTGGGTTCATGACATCAACTGAGTTGATGAGGAATATTGTGATCACCGTAAGGGCATTGAGAAATCCCCTTACGGTGATCAAAGCACCCTTACCAACTCATTTGCCGAAACCAAATTCAAAACAATGCTATTCTTTTATTTCTGTTTTTGGCTTTTTAAGGCACGATTAATAAAATTCACCGACTGGATGTATCTTTTTGCGATGAATAAACCAGCTTTTTGGTAACCTTCACTGTAGCTTAACAGCTAATTTTTGCCTCTCACAAAAACGCCAACGACGCACAAGACGAACGAACATTTGTGTCACACGAACATCTAACAGACAAAAGTTTTGAAGACGAGAACATTTTATAAAGGTAAACCTGTTTCGGGGCGGGAAATATTTTGAATGAGTAATAAAGTCTGACAATAACTGCATTCGGAATTCACATTTTATGAAAAATTATGCAGATTTCGGACGATGTCTTCTACCGAGGTCAACCTTGCATCCTCCGCGATTTTCACAATTATTCATATACTCAGCAGCATCTAATAATTACTAAGTATTACTCAGACAAATTATATTAATTCTGATGCAGAAGGCGTCCTCCAGTCTGTCTTTTATGAGGAAAACGAGGTTCTTGTCATTAAAGTGGTTATTTGATCAAAAGTTACTGTTTCAGAAAAAGGAAGCCTCTTATCCCCAAAGGGACCAAAAATTACAACAACCTTCTTCTTGTAGAGAAGTAGAAAACCGGTTCATAACCTATTACAACTTTCGGAAAAACAGGAAAAGTATATATCTCGTAAAGTATTGAACATAGAATTCTACCGAAAATTATTTTCCTGAAGGGCTCTTTACCGAGAGCATACTTAAATTAAAAGGCGCCCATAAGGTGCGAAAACGATAGTTTTAAATATCGTACATAAAATACAGAAAGTAATAAAAAAATAACACATAATAATAAAAAAATAAATTGGAAATAAAAGGAAAAAAAGAAAGAAAAAAAAAACAAAACAGTGCCAACAAATCATCGCGTGGGTAAAGGGTATTAGGTAGAGTGTCTCAGATCGATCATGTGTAGCCTGTAATTGCGGTCACTGTTTTATTGCTTTGTTCAAAAACTAATAAGTCTCCAACCGTGTAAGACAATATCGTAACACCAAATAACGGTGGCCATGTACTAACTACCTCTCATGGGGTAAGATCGCAACTCCACTCAAAATTAAAATAGAAAGATGAAAATATTCAAGCAACTTGAACATGTAAATTGCAGTAGCAGTTAGACATGCACCTGTAATACAAACGATTACATTACATTACAATACTACATCCAAGACCGCGTGTTTTTTTTCCTAAGCACTCTTTTCAGTTCTTTCTTGTGTATCGTTTAATGACAAAAACTTGACGAGAAGTTAAAAGTGATTTCTGCGGTTTCGAACGAGAGCATCAACACTGGATACAAGTAGTAAGGCGATACCGCTTGTTTTGGCTCTCATGAGCAATGCGCTTGTCAAATGAAACAACGAATTTCGTGGATCAGTTTTGTCCTCAAGAATCCTCTGTAGCAATACAAGTGATGAGTATGTTGTTTTGTGCCATTGTAATACTGATAGCTTTGATCGGGAACGCCCATATTGTTACCGTGGTTTGCCAGCATCGTCGACTGCGAAGAGCAGCCATTAATTTGCTCGTGGTTAACATGAGTATGGCAGACATTATCATTACTGTGTTTAATTCGCCGCGCCTTATATCTAGGGCTATTCTGGGCACAGACTGGGCAATACGCGGAGAATTCGGTTACATCCTCTGCAAGGCCTTCCCATTTACCAAAGAGCTTTCCTCTTTCGTGTTTGTACTGACTCTTCTACTCATAGCAGTGGACCGTCTCATCGCCGTCCTATTTCCCTTAAAACGTTTTATCACCAACCGTGTAGCGTACGTTTCTATTTTCTTCGTATGGATTGTCGCCATAGCTCTCCGATCACCAATATTCAACGACCAAAGGTTTATCCTTGGAGAAGACGGACAAACATACTGTTTCCTCCAATTCGACTCCGAGCTGGCGTTTTATTTTTACTTGAAGTATGCATTTGCGACCTTTTACTCAATCCCTTTGACCTGTATTCTCATCCTTTTCGGCGTTGTGATGGTTTTACTCAAGAAACGAAAATCAGTTGGCGAGAATTTAACAAGCAAACAACAAAGATACAAAGATCGTACAAGAAGAACTCGCAAAGTGATGAGGATGTTGCTTACAATCATGTTTGTTTTAACTCTGGGTTGGTGCTTGCACTTCTTTTTGCCTCTTCTACTTCTTCGCTTTGGACCCAAAGTATGTAACTTAGCTTTGCCAGCTCTCTTTCTTAATCAAAGCACCAGTGCAATAAATCCTTGTATCTACCTTCTTTATATAAAAAATTACCGCTGTAGTTTCCGTGAGATTTGGCGCTCACTCTACAGGCGGTGCATGAAGACGCTGTCTTCGAACAATAAAATTAAGCCTCAGGATATTTCAACTGTACGTAGAAGGACTGTCGAAGGACAGCAAAAATGAAAGACTTTCATTGGCCGCATTGGATTTTCAGCGTTATCATGGGAAAAGTAAAAGTAAATTTTTTCCAATAATAACAGGTTCAAATACGAAGGTTTCACAAGCGGGGTAATTTAGAAAAGTTTAATTGGTGGGATCTGGAATAAAGCTTTTTAGAACTGCGATGGGAAATGATTTAGCGTGTTCCAGGCTCCCAGATAGTCAGGTCCGCGAAATTGAGAAAGCGCGAACACGAAAATGATACGGAAGGAAACTAGGCACCCTTTTCCCAGATCACGCGCTCATATTTTCTCGCGCCTTTCACTTACGTGTCATCCCTACTATCTGAGAGCCTGGAACAGGCTAGAAAAGATTCGGTTTGTAAACTGCATACGAACAGGGATCCTACGGATCATGATTCAGAAATTGTTGCTTTAAAGAAGTTTGAATGTCCGGTGAGAAAAGTGAGCTGCATTTTTGAAAAATCCCACATATAATAGACTCAAAAAAAGTTGCCCACATTCAGCTTGACCCTGTCACGTGATTACGTAAGCGTACAACGTTTTTATATCTTAGTAACAAATCTCAGTAAGGCACCTTTTAACGCGTATGTTCGTGATCGCGATTAGCCGTTAAAAACAGGCGGGATAACGCGATAAAGAAAAATATTCGTTCGGGATAACGTGATTGAAGAGGCCCAATGGGGCTTATCTTTCATATGCATAACTTTCTAAGTGTGAACAGAATCTAACCTGAGTGCAAACATTGAATTTCGTGGCCGAACATCAGGAAGCTATCGACCTTGTCAATGATGAGGCTTTACGGAAATTTATCTACCACATAGCGAGGACACACAAGCGACGGCGAAGAAATTCATAAAAAGGAAAAAAATAAACAAGCAACTCACCTCCACCAATCCCTGCAGACTTGAATCCAGGTCCCCTGGCAAGAGGCTTTCACTCATTTTGTCTAATAATGTATGCAATGTGTAACTAAGGACATGAAGCTGAAGATAGATCAAAATTAGTCGCTTGCGCGAATTAGGAAGGTGCATAAAAAAACAAATAACATTTCACTTGTATGCGCACTGTTAATAACATGATTCAGCCAACAAACAGGACCTAGGAGGGCCTACACAGACATAATCGATCGACGATAAGTTTTCCTCCCCTGAAGTCGTGCACTGACGGCAAAGAAAGGCACGTGTAGAGTCTGGCGATGTTTTGCTCATTAAACCCGTTGCTCTTTTAACGTTGTCTCTGTCGTAGCTGTCGTTCAGATATTCGTATTTGTATTTTCGTTCGTACAATAAACTGGCAGCGAAAGGGGGCAGTTTACTGTAATTACTATTCACCTGATATCCTCTTGTAAGTGAGCTTCTTAGTTCCTTCAGTACGAACAAGAGGTACCGACTTCCGAGAGAAACGGTTATTTTTGCCAGGGTATCGCGTGCTACATCGCGCACCTCTCGGGCTCTGCTCCTTAGGGTGTGACAGATACGCAAAAGAAGGCTACAGAGAAATTAAGAAAAAAAACATCACTAAAGGTGCTCAGTAACAACTAGGAATATTTAGATCAAAAAGCTGGGCAGGTAATTAATGTTACACTTATATCAACAAGCAGTAAACAACAACAAAAACAAACAAACAAACAACAACAACAACAGTACAGGATATTACATGGCCGCGCTGCGATACGAAATTTCTCTTCGAGTGAGTGCAGCGAACGAGTAAAATATTTATTTAAAAAACATTAAATGAAATACCAAACCAATTCACTATAATATTGTTTGCGGTGATTTTTCATGTACCCATAGCAACGGTGATCTTTTCACGTGTGAGGACATCATGTTTTTTTGCGCGAAAGCTCACCTTGTATTTCATTGATGTCACTATTTAGGGGGCACAAGATAAAACCTGCCAATTTTCCAAAAATTTTACTTACATTTTCTAGAGGACTATAAACGTCCAAAATGACTTTCGCTTTTTTCAAGATAAGTGTTTTACATTTTTGGAAGGGTTATTGTTAGCGTTTGTTAGAAACGAGAAACAAGCAAGTGAAAACAAACATAAAACAAACAATCCTTTTCACCCCGGTAAATATGAGTGTAGCGCATGTTCCGGCAGTGCTTGAAGAAGCTTGATTATAGCAAGAATGATGGGCACACGCAACACTTCCTCCTCGTCTTCGGCTTTTTGTTGGCTCAAGCGGTGAAAGTCATCCGATTTGCTCTACAAAATAACAAACACAACGAGTTTAGACCAGACATATCAACTAGATACCTAAACTATGATAAATATCATGTAACTACGTTAATGACTTACTAATTGACTGACTGACTCTGACTGACTGAATGTTTGATTGACTGACTGACTCTGACTGACTGACTGACTAAATGATTGACTGACTGACTGACTCTGACTGACTAAATGATTGACTGACTAAACTGACTGACTGACTCTGACTGACTGAATGATTGACTGACTGACTGACTCTGACTGACTAAATGGTTGACTGACTGACTGACTCTGACTGACTAAATGATTGACCGACTGTTTGACTGACTGACTGATTGACTGACTGACTGACAGAAGGACTGATTGACTTACTGAGCGCTAAGTACAAAACGTTACAGTCTTTTCGGTAGTAAAAAATTTCGTTATTTTCGTTATCTTCGCAATTTTCGAAGCACTCCTGCAAAATTTTGTGATTTTTGTAAATTTCGTTAAAGAGTTTAACCCTAGACATATCTCCAAGACATAATAAATAACAAGAAAACAACAACAATATTAACAAATAGCTTCCTCGCTTGCTTCATAGTACAAACTCACCTTTTTAGTGACGCATTTTTGTAACTGAGGCAGGATAGTTGAGGTGATGGTGTTGTAGATACGTACTGCAAGCTCCTCTTTAGAAACGTTACCATTAACAACTGGGTTCGTTTCATCGACATCATCGTCATTGTCGTCGTCTTTAACCTCATCAGCATCATCATGCCGATCATCTTGCTTTTCATCTTCTTTTTGAGTATTAATAGAGCTTTCAACTTTCTTTTCGCCACCTGTCAAGACCACAGCATATCTTTTAAGCTGAGAAAAACTTGAAAAGCCTCTGAGAAGCTTCGCAGCTGTTTGGTAAAGTTAAAATACGTTACAGCTACGTACCTGGGAGGTTTTCTGTTTGCTTGGGAACCGCGCTCAGGTCAAAGTGAAAATTGCTGAGAATAATCACAACAACTCTACAAAAGAAAAACAAAAATCAAGTTACTACATCTTAATTGTTACTCAGGACTGATCCACGTACCAAGGTCAGGGTGCAAAAAATGTCACTGTTATAGGCAGCCATTTAGGCAAGCCGTAGCTAGCAAGTACTAGCCCAAAAGTCATTTCAACTGGCCCGAAAAAAACTGGATCAATTTAGGTTTCCGGGAAACTGCCCTCCTACCTCTCCTCTAACTCAACGTAAACATTTGCGTCTCACTTGGAGCAAAATAACGGGTTAGGGGAGGGGTAGGTGGGAATTTCCTAGAAACCTAAATTAATCCAAAAAATTTGATAGGTAGGATCAAGAGAGAATAATGGTACAGAAAGGGAATGGCCCATCTATCCCCTGGGATATGTGAATTTCACCAAAGCTATTTTTAGACCAATTCAATGCTTGAAATTAATCGGAAGTTTGTTTCCGGAGAAGTCCCCTAACGTCTATTCAGTGTTGTCAAAAGAGTATTCAACAGTCGTCATCACGATAGTCTGCATTGTTTGCTTTGAGGCAGTCGAGCGTGCACTTGCAGGGTGACGTTTTAAACAATCGATCAAAATAGGAGGACGCCTCAGGACTTTGACTTCCCTTTAATTACGACCTCTAAAAATAACTTAAGAGCAATTCACATATCCCGGTCGACGCCCTAATATTCCCTCTCTCTCTATTATTCTCTCTTGGCAGTATTGATTACAGTTCTTCCTTAATACTGATCTTGACAACAGGTGATGACTTCTGAGGTTTGGTTTTACGTAACAGACACGTGGTCAAAACTTAAGCAAGGTGGCTTTAGCTAATCAGCTGCCTGGCAGCAGACGTGATCTAACCCCAGCTAATAACGTCTGCCAACTACCTGTGAGATCCTTTTTCTGGGCCCCAACGGACTTAACGAATTATCGGAAGTGAGTTTCGAACTACCACTCAACCTGATTGGCCATTTGAACAATAGCATTTTTAAAAGGCGAACCATAGCGGGACTCTAATCATGGTACACAGTAAGGGCCCAGAACAGGCATTTTGGTGCTGTTTCACAGACGGACTTAACCAGTAGTTTAGTTTCGTCTGTGGTGCAGGCTACCTATTGCAGTGTTAGAAGATTTTCTCATAACGCTATCTGGCAACAGAAAACAGTTTTTAAGCCTTGTGTAACAAACGTGGCCCGCGAACACTGCCCAATGATTACAAAAAAATTGTCCTGTTTGCGCAGCATTAGGCTGTTTAGGGATTCCTGTTTTTCAGCGCTTACTGTAATGGGCGGCAATCTTGATTCAAATGTACCGGTGTAACCTGCTTACGGAATAAGGGGAATTAAAACAAACTAACTTCAGTTCGCGATTATTATTAGAGCAATCGCCCAACATCTTTTGTTTCTCGTTACACTGTAAACTATAATATGCCCAGAAAGGTAAGTTTCGAGCTGAAAAACCATCTGTTTCGGGCAACAACAGACAAAATGATGTAAGCGAATTTGCAACAAACTTCCTACCTAACGATGATCTTTTGGAAAGTCCTCTCCACAGGCAATAGTTTTAAATAGTGCCTCAACAATGAGCAGTACTTGGACCAGGGGAGGCTTGCCGATATTGTTCCAATAGTGGTTACAGCCTCGGTGACAAGGTTGTGCTCTTTAGCAGCCGTGTGATCAAATAAACAATGTGTCACCAATGGCAGCAAGAAGGCAGTAAGCGTTGTGGTTCTAAGGCTATGGTGCTGACAATGTGACTGCAGGCGACGAAGTGCACGAATGCGGCGATGGAGCTGAATTGAAAACAAATCAAACAAAATTAACTTCGTAAACTTTAAATCAACTCAAAAAAGCCACAAGTACTCAAACGAGGCTAGTTAACCAAGGTTCATAAGGATTCAACCTTCACACGTACATGCTATATGCATGTAGAAGATTCGGACTGCTACTTTAACCAGCACTTTAAGTACTTATGACGCAGTTTCCCTTATTTGACCAAACTGATACAATTAAACAGCGTTTAGTATTATTTTGGCCCTCGACAAGTTTATCAGTAAATTGCAGTTACCGTCACGTGTAACCCTCGTGAAATAAAGTCTCTTATCTTTTCTTGGTACGTTCGTGACATAATTAAGTTTGCTAATCATGAAAAGCGCTTTGGTTTTTGTTACGATAAATTTAAAGGACCTCGCTAGTACGCCACCAGTATCGTATATAGTAGACCCAGTTCGCACTTTGTATGCACATCATTTTCTAGCTTGCGAGCAAGCTCTCCTATTTGGGCGAGCAAAGCGAGTCTCGCGAGAACGCGCGAGCTAGCGGCGAAGCGTTCTCGCGAGGCTCGCTTCGCTCGCTCAAATAGGAAAGCTTACTCGCAGGCTAATCACTTTCACGTAACATCTCTCTATGGTCTTGAAGGGAAATTCTTACCACAACAAAGGCTGACACTGAGTGCGAAAATAACAATTTGGGTTGGTCAGAAAAAAATAATTATGTCCTCACCTGAATGTGCTTGATGTTCTCAAAAAAGTCTTTCTCGGGGTCTTCGTCCAAGAGAACCTTTAAGTCTGACAAGGAATCATGTTGAAACTCACGAGCCATCGTGGAGAGGACACCTAGAAATTCATTTCTGGCAATCTACGAGCAGAAATTCACCAAAAAGTTGTTGAGCAAAGTAGCAAGACAAAACAACATTTAACTCATACCCAGGAAATGTAGTCTAGACTGAAGAAGAAATTTTTTGGGAGTCAAAGTACTTAGAATTCGTACCACTTGAGAAACCTATTGTAGACTTCCAAATTAATACTCACAGCACCTTTTGTTCTAGAAGCTGTTTCTTTGAAATAAACTATTTCATAGATGACAAAAAACCTCAGTAGCCTTGTACGGATTAGTCCTGGTTCAATTTTCTTTCGCGCTTTAGACTTGATTTTGTTTTTTGTTTTTTCTTGAAAATTGTGATAGTTTATGACGCGAAATGTTATAGTCGATACCAATTAGTTTTAAACGACATAGACTATTTCCACATCTCAAACAGATTAAAGTAGTTATTATTATTCTAACTTTTCACGAAATCCCCAACGTTTCAACAGCTTACCTCCTTTTTAGAAGACAGTGCTTTCTTGCAGTTCGGAAGAAGACACTTCATGATGAGAACATGAAATGGCTCGTCCTTTTCGTCACTCTGCTGAACAACATATCGCACTATGCAACTCATACAACTTCCAGCACTATCTCTGATAGACAGGTCATCGCTGCATAAAACGAAGTGAATACAGTTGTGAAGCAAAGGCAAAATCTCGTCTGTCTTGAGTGCACTTTGTTGGATAAGGACTTTAGCATTGGTAAAGCCTGCCAATCGAGTGTCATAATCGGGTTCATCTAAACGTTTGCGGTTCCACGCGTTCACTTGAGATAGAAGTTCGCACGTCTTAGGAGAAAAACTAGAATCCACATTTGAAAGCTCCAAAAAAACATCACACAGAAGCTGCCTGGTACCGCGCGATGTCAACTGCGAGAAAAGCTTCGATAAAGATGTGGCGAATTCTCTCGGCGCATCAACATTAGGTAACAGACCCTTAATAGTAGAGAGAATATTGTTCGCAGTCTCCTCCTTTTGAGACGAATTAACGAAAGGCAACAGTACATTAATGAGAGTGGAAGAATGCTCAGCGTCTTTAACAAATGGACTGATTTTTGACAAAACCGAAAGCTCTCGCTGAGGTAAAATGACCTTTCCTTTGTTCTTTCGTGAATTCTCTATAGCCTGCTTGACAGAACGGCTGAGGTATTCAAGGACATCCGACATGTGTGGAAGAACTAACAGAGTTCCGTAACTAGGTCTGTCTTCTTCGTTGTAATTCGAGAAAATTCTGCAATATAAAAAGTGAACATGGAATAAATGCAAGACTAAATCAAGGATAAGAGAGATGAAAGAAGAAAAATCAGTCCTCCGCTATCTCCTCTTAAAATAGCTGCTTTTATAAGTTACATAATAATTGAAGTCATTTGGCTATGCAATGTAATCGCGGCACGCTTTCTTATGAATCGCGTACTTTACTGGTTCATGGATCTTCTGAGGTACCCAACGGAAAAACCCTTTGATTTTTTTTGTGCGTGTCTAGCCAGCGAGTTTAACGAAAGTCAATCACAAAAACAGTTTTCGCAAGTCCGCCGCAACATTGGTTAAAAGTTAAGGAGCCCTGAAGATCAGGAATGAGTCTGTATTTAACCCGAGTAGTCCAGTACCTCACAAGAACCTCTAATTTAAGTGGTCGTCTAAAACAATATTGCCTTTTGTGTTGAGGGTTAGGGTTATTGTTTGTGTGATTATCCTATTGTTTTCATAGCCAATTGTGTGAGCCCTGTAGAGTGAGAGCAAGGTTGCGTGAGGCTGGCCCAACTTCTTGCTTAGAAGAGCATCTGTCCTATGTCCCCTTACCAGAGCCTCAGTGGGAAAAACTGAAATTTTAAGTGATGACTTACGTTAACATGGAACCACACTCCATCAAATCACTTTCTTCCCTATCCCCAGACAATAGATTGTCTGTCATTTCCATCACCATGGCAACCACATCTGCTGACACTGATGGAACTCGCAAACATAGAAATATACAGGACATGATTGACACGTTTGGATTACCAACTGGCTTCCTGGAAAGCAATGGAAAATAACGGGAATTCTTTGTCCAGGTAAACAGAAGCTTGAGTAGTGGCGTGGGATGTTGAATACTCTCCTGAGTAAGCTTCTCCACCTGATAAGAAAAAAAACAATAGACAAAAATAGATAAAACTTCTTATATTTGATAACTTGCTCCCGCCACGACATTCTTGCCAAAACCAGTTGTAGAATGACGACGGCTATCACGTTTTCCCGCCAGAATGACGCTGGTTCACACGCGTGCACTATTGCTTCAACCAATCAGAAGCACACTACCCAGATTGGAAACACGTCATAGTACGGAATACCTGGGCTCGTTTCTCAGACGTCATTTTGCGGGAAACAAGTGATGGCGTCGCTAAAAGTCGGTTGTCTTCTCAGGCTAATCACCTTGATACGACCAACGTTTAGCCGTGGAAACTTGGTCGTATGCTTTGTTTCGGCCGGTAAAAAGGTGGTCGCTATAACAAGAAGATCGTATGGCGGGGTTTCATGTTATTAATGTTCACGGCGCTTCAAGGGTCAATCTAATAAAACTTTTACAAGTGTAATTTACAAGTGAAGCTATTGTTTTAGATTCCAAAAACAATAGCTACACTTGTAAATTACACTTGTAAACATTTTATTAAATTGACTCCAGATAATTTCGTCAAACATCCTTGGATGGTAAGATGAGGTGCAGTTCACCTGAGGCCACACAGCTGACGAGAAAACGGCTTCACAAATGGGCTTAAAATCATAATCCGTCATCTGTTCAAAGAACTCCATCAGGCGAGATATGGCCAACTGACGAACCGTCTTCAGCTGAGAGATTAAAGACAGCTGGATCTGGAACAGCAACAACATCAAATATAATTTACCACTACGACTTTATTAAAAATGAACACAGAAGCCATTTTTACCCTATCACTACTACAGTAAAAACTGTAATTACTTCATTAGGTAATACCTTCCACTACACCTCGCTCAAATAAGAAAAAACGAGTGATAACAGTCAAACCTTGCTTTACGGACACCCTGCACTTTCATAAACGAGTGCCCCGCGAGGATTAATTGCCTTTGTTTTGTTTTAAGGTGTTTTGAAAGTGTTAATAACGTGTACTTTTCTATCAGTGCCCTGTTTCATGTTTCATGTCGTCTGTTTCGACGGATAGCAAGTTTTAATACACCTGCAAAATCACGAAAACAATATTACCATGGTTAATGCTCCCTGATAGGATTTCTTTGATATCTTCTTCGTAACTTCGTAACAGGCGCATTTTGTGAAAGGGTAAAAACACTGAGATAACGAATCATTATGCGTTTCTGGGCAACTGTCTACCTACCCCTCCCCTAACCCAACATTTTTCCCCAAGTGAGAAGTAACATGACTTTACCAAAAAATTGACCTGAAACAGCAATATCCTCGTGAAATATCCCCTTTCAAGGTCATCTTAATCGGACTAGCCGATTAGTGTACCTTTTCTCGCTGATTCAGAGCCAGCACACATTTCTTTGAAGTCTTCTTCGTAACTTCGTAACAGGTGCATTTTGTGAATGGGTCAAGGCACTAAGTAATAACTGCCAACCTACCCCTCCCATAAGCCAACATTTTTCCCTAAGTGAGAAGTAAGAGGTTATGTTGGCTTAGGGGAGGGGTAGGTGGGTAGTTTTACCAAAGAAATTGACCTGAAACAGCAATATCCTCGAGACATATCCCCTTTCACAATCATCTCAATCGGACTAGCCGATCATCGTACCTTTTCTCGCTGATTCAGAGCCAGCACGCATGTTGATAACAGCGAGAGGATGATCTGCAGGATTGAAGGATAAAAGGCGACGGCAATGATCCCTATCTTGTTCAGGATTTGTGACACCATTCCCAGGAAACCAAGCTGCTTCTTTACGGGAACAGCATTTGAGAGATCTGTGGTGGTGGTGATCAGGCCTGGGTTGTCCGCTGTTGAGTAAGTAGGCAAGCAAAAAATATGATTAACGATTACCAACTATTTTTGGGAGCCAAATTTCTTTACCTTTTTGACCAAAAGCTTACAAACTTGCAGACCTCACAAGTATCTGATCCAAGATGTCAGAAAAAAAAACTGAAATTAGTAAAAATACAATTGCCATGCAAAATACATATTATGTACAGCACATATAGCAAAAAATATAAACACAGGAAAAATGTACATGTTGAGGTTCAATTTCATCCTTCGTTTATTATAAATCTTACTTTCCTTCTTTTTAAAGTCTTCATCATGATATTACCATACCCAAAAACACGGGGAAATAACATTTGAACTACGTAAAAAATTGAGCTACGGCATATACAATGAACAAGATAAAGAGGCTGCTGTCCTTTAAACAAATAAAAAATAAATTCAACAAAACGAAGAAAACTACCCAGCAACAAGGAATTTTATAATACAGGTTTGAAAGCTGGAAAAAGGATAATCATGAGGCGGATTTTACCGCATTCGAGACACGTACCTGTGCACAGGTGTTTAAATGGCGCCAAAATCAGATCCATAAAGATTTGTATTTCCCGCTGGGGACAGGAGGCCAGGAACCTCAGCACAACCGCTCGCCTCACTCCAATGCCAGCCTTTCCACCAGTGCCGGTCCCAGTCCACCTCTGCATTTTGCCGTACAATAACCTGATAAAGATAGAAGTGATGAATTTTATTAACACGGAACGATTATTTGAAATGTCAAGAGAAGGTTTATGATGATAACGACCCATTCGAACATCTTACTTCAGCACTTACATCGAACATGAGAAAATGAAATATAAGACATTCGTTCAGTGCCAACTGCCAAGCATGCAACAACCCTTTTCATCAAAATTGGACTGAAAGATTTCCAGTAAGAAAAGACCCATTTTTGTTGCCAAAGTATATAAATTCTCATGAATTTTAAACACCCCGCCATTTCAAATGACCAAAAGATATGATTGCTACCAACGTTAGCTTTCCAAAAACAAAAGTACATGGCCGGAAAGTGAAAGGCCACCCGATGCGACCTGTAACAAAATATCACGTGTCATCACTGACCTTATAAGGACAGGCATAAGTCCCTCCCGATGACTTGTGTCTACAAAACCACTTTCTTCGTCAACTGAAAAATGCGCCAACTCATCCCGAAAGTTCTCATCGTCCAACAGACGCTCGATATTCTCCTTATACGGCTCCAGATAACCAAACTTGTAAGTCATTAGACATTTAACAGCAAGCTTCTGAACTTCTCCCTCTCTGTGAGCTAGAAATCTCAAGAAAAGCTGTCTCACTTCTGATTCTTTATACAGTGCTTTCGGATTTTTAAATGCCGCAAAAAGTGCCAGGTGAATGCAGAGGGACTTTGTAGCTGATTTGTGTCTCTTTTTATGAGCATTGGTTTCTTGTTCGACAACAGAGCTGTCTGTGTCAATTTCTTTAGACTCTGATTGGTCGGATGTATCTATAGTTGTTGTCCCATGGGATTCAGCACGTTTTTTGATGAGAATGTCTTGTGAAGGCGCTACGTTTTCCATTGCTACAAAGTATTCATTACTGTGACAAAACAAAAAAGTATAGGTAAACTTCAAAGAGAATTCACCACTACCAGTGAAACTGGTTTTTTTTGTTATGTATCAGATAAGAAACGGGATATAAGATTTACCACTGAAGTTAAGGATTTGAAAAGCATTTTTGTCACAACACAGGACCATCAAACCGGCCTTTGCTATGACCAAGCAAGGAGAAACGATAGAAACGATAAAGAAAGCTTAAATTATACTTGTCAGTATTTAATCTTGGTGATCTGATCAATGTAAGATCCGACTTGGCATTTTATTACTAACTTAGTTTCGTAACGCATTGCAAAGTGTGCGGCACTCTTCAGAAAAAATTGCCAAATGAAAAGTTCTTTACAACATACAGTGTGTACGCTGTGAATATTTGTGTCGCGTAAAGCTGTTAAAAAACAGGAGCTACGATCTTGTAACAATGTATTTAGTAATTCAAACCGATTAATTCAAATTCCACGTTTTCCCCGTGATTATTTACAGAGTATAAAAGCCTTCTTTTTTGAGTTTGGGTAAAACAAAAATAGTGCAAATGGCATAGAAGTAACGTCGAGCAAATGTAGCATCATGTATTTTGAAGGCACCGAGAAAAAGGAACTTGTCTTACCTTACAAACCTAAGGAACAAAGGCACTAAGTCCCGTGATTTCTGTTCGGCAACTCCCGGAAAGGACGCCAGTGCTTTCCACAATAGATATCGGTAGTTAGTGTGATCTGCTCTGTTGTCTTGTCGTGAACCAAGAGAAGAAACGTTATGCCTGTCAAATATTTCATCAAGACTCCCAACTAGTTTGCTGCCCAAAGGCCCATTTATTTCAATCAATGCTTGTTTGCAGGCACCTGTATCCATTTCTTCACTGAGTTCTTTTTCTGAGAATTACAAAAAAGTGAACAAGTTTTAGCCGGCAGCTTACATAGCCTGCGAACAGCAGACGCATTTCCGGTCGTCGCTTCTCTCCCTCCGAAAAATAGGAGGCAGGGAGAGAGGCGACGACCGGGAGTGCGTCTGCTGTTCGCAGGCTACAGCTTACATAGATTTCAAAACTTTTGCTTCCAATGGCATTTTCACCTCAGAAACACGAGTGACAAGGTCACAAGAGTAAAAGTAACGATAAAAATACATTAACTGTGAAAATCACAAAGTACATTGACATGTGTATAAAATTGTCACACAGTTTCAATTCAAAAGCCAGTGCACTTTGCTTCACCGACTTAAAATTGTATTACCTAGCCTTCCAACCCGAATTATCTGAATTTAAACGGTGATTACTATATTTATCTTTGAGGTATTCTTAAGAATATTGTGACACTCCTTGTACAAACAAGCAAGAGATTAGGTCCCCGTTGTTCAAACGTCGAATAGCGCTATCCACCGGATAAATCACTACCAAGCGAATAAGCATTAGAGTAGCCAAATGCGTCATTTACTGGATAGAGATTTATCTAGTAAATAATGTTATCCGCCTTTTGAACAACTGGGGCCAGAACTGACTCATTCATTTACCTGCACTTTCTGCTGCTTCATTCAAAAGCTTGTTTAAGGTTTTCCAAAAGTGTTTCACATTGGAACTTTGCGAAAAACTCGCGATTATTTCAATGACAGGGTCCCACAGGGGACTAAAGTTAGTATACAGCATGCCAAACAGATGAAGAAGTGCAGCCTCTCGGCAGTACTCTGGCAGAGCGTCGTAAAACTGGGTGGAGAAGCGGAGTTTCTGCAGACGCACTAATCGGTCCCTATAAGTTTCTAAGCCAGCGGGAATTTCTTCAGCTGCGAGGCACAGCTGAAATACCGAGGCTGAATTCTCTTTTGGCAGAGCCTGAAAAAGAAATTATTATGCAAATATGAATGAAATAAAATAAACAGGTGGCAAAAAGTTCATTTATTGTTCAGTAATGTACATAATTTGAAAGATTTTCACTTGCAACGTACATGAAATGCGAATTAGAATACTGAAAGAAATGAGGAGCCAAAAAAACATTTCGGTATAAATTATACGGAGGGTGTCATGAATTGTCCCTTCGCTGCAAAAAAATGTCGCTTTTCAGATCTTAAGTGTTGCCTTATAGTCACTACTACTTATAAACTCTAAAATGAGCTTGTGGTTGCCGCAAGCTTGGGATTTTTATATAGATCAAAATTATTTAGTAAAAAAGCGTTGTGTAACACAGTTAGGTCAGTATTAATTTTTTACCTTGTCGTCCGATACGCCCTTGCTCGGATGATCAAAACAATTCAGCATCTTCAGAGTAAGAAGACGTATGATATGGCTTGCGGAGCACAGATTGTGGCTAACGTAAGAAAAGATCCCCTGCAGGTTTTCCGTGGCTAAAAAGCTCTGGATTCCATGAGCTCGTGCCACTGTCATCACTTTTAAACAGGCTTGAAGAATGTGAACATTGGTAGGCCAAGATCTGTAAAACAATAGGACAAAAAACTGTACACTGGATTGAAGTTAGGAAAATATGGTGCATTTCGTATATTTCAATTCATGGCATTTCCACCACCGCGTATATTACGAACTCACAATGAGTGACAAAGTGGCTCACAACGTGGAAGTTGTTGAATGCGGAAAGAAAAAGTTGCGGATTCAAAAATATCCGGATACGTGTGGACGCAGCCTAACACTAAGGGGAAATTTAACTTACTTGATCAATGACAAAACGAAGCTGTAGTCTAGATGTTTGGTGAGCTCTTCTGCACTGGGCACAATCAAGCTGTACGACTGAATAGCCTGGCTCAGCACACTGAAGTAAACTGAATGGTCTCCAGCAATATTTGCTGATAAAATGTGTTTGCAGAGGGTCTGGATTAACCTGATGAGCTGACTGCAACATTGAGCAATGTCCAGTGGTCTGTAAATTAAAGGGAAAAGACTTTTTACATGTAAAGTGTAAATGCTAACAGCGCTTGTGTTTTAACCTAAACAACGTTACACAGGAAAATGGTGGCGCTCAGAAAATTTGCAGTAACACTCCAGGTGACAAACGAACTACTGGAAATGTCCTACAAAACTACAGTGTACTCTGTCAAAGTGGCTGTGCCATGCTATTTGATACCTTTTTGAAAAGCTAAGCTGTGTCTTCGAATCAGTTTGATTCTAAAAAGAATGCTCCCGTTTTGTTTTTTAACAGTAAATTTAGCATTGAAACTGTTTCCCGTCGTCTGTCGCTAAGAATGGCATGAATGGACATGTAGATTGAAACTTGAAAAAGTTGGGCAAGCTTTTTCACGTTTTAATGCAATACCTGCAACAAATCACCACAAATATTATGGTTACTACTCCCTGGTGAAATTTGTTTTATACCTTCTTCTTAACCATTAGTACACAGGAGTATCTTTAGTATGGGTAAAAACAACAAGTAATGGCTTTGGTACAAAATTAACCCAAAAAGGCAATACTCCTCGTGACATACATGTAGCCCCTTTAAATAGGCCCCTCCTTTAACAACAGCCCCTCAATCTTCTATAGGAGGAAAATGATTAAGACAGAATCCACCACGACATTGAGTACTTTTGATTTTCAGTGGACAAAAATCTTGTACTGGAATAATTTAAAGCATATTGCATTCTTTCTTACATTTTTCAAGGGCTAAAGATGTAATAAATCATCTGTAGTACCACCAAAGGAAATTTCTCATGGAAGCCCAAGAAAATGAATGTCAAATTTCACAGAATTACATCTAACACATAAAATTTTCAGAATTTTACCTGTGTAATCACAATTCTTCTGAAATTTGACGTTCATTTTCTTGGACTTCCATGCGAAATTTTCTTTGGTGTTACTACAGATGATTTATTGAAAAATGTAAAAAAGAATGCAACATGCTTTAAATTATTCTGGTACAAGATTTTTTGTCCACAGAAAATTAATATTACTCAATTTCCTGGTGGATTCCGATTTCGTCTTAATTCCCCCTCCTCCTATACACTGTTCTAAAGGGCTTTTTGGCTTGAGATGCATTCCTTTTGCCGTGGCAAAGAAGGTCAGTTCCTTGCCTCTCTTTACAGTGTTTAAAGAGGCAAAGCCGATGAAAATGAAGGCAACAGAAGAAAGGAACCTACGTCACTGAGTCACAGTTATAACCGTTACCATCTAATGCTGTGAATGTCAGAACGTAAATAAATTTTCTTTACCCATAAGACAACTTCAATTATTTGTCTACGAAACATCCTAGAAACTTATTGATTAAGTGGACCAGAGCGTTCCATTTTCTTCAACTGAAAAAATACAATACTCGGAGAAAACATCTTGGAGCAAGGACAAGAACCAACATAGAACGTAAACCCACACAAATTATGGTGTTGCCTGTAATACACTGATGGGATGCAAGTGCTCTCATTACATTGCCACCCCTTCACCCCATGGTCCAGTCTAAATACAACTGTAAATTATGTTGTCAGAAAAATATAATCATACTGTAATTTGTTTACCCACGAAGCACTTAGGAGTTCTTACACTGTATGTAGTCGTTTAAACGTGTCCATGCATTTTAGATCGGATTCGAATTAATTTAAAGGGTTGGTTTTTGAGAAGAGGGGAAAACTGGAGAACCTAAGGAAAAAATATCTCGTAGCAAAGGAGAGAACCAACAACAAACTCAACCCACACATGGCATTGACGCCTGGATTTGAACGCAGGCCACAATAGTGGGAGGCGAGTGTTCTCACCACTGTCAGGGCTGTCATTAAGTTTTTATAAAGCAGCCATGGCAAACAAAGATTCACCTATAACATTTAACAACACCCGTAACAAAAATTTATAGTGCCACCTCTAGCTTTTCACTTTGATAATCTGTAACATCTTGAGTGAGCTCAGCCATAACAGGTGTTATGGGTTGTGACGCTTGATCACAGTCTGATTGCACTACCCTTGCTCCTAATATAAGTGTACTCCTAAAATTTTGCTTGATTAAAACTGCATAAATTAAGGCAAGTTCCTTTTCGTTTTTCATGTTAATTATGAACTTTCTATTGCTGTCTACCTGTATCTCTTCCCCTAACATCAATCTATCCCCACCTCATAAACACAAGATAAATACCCTGTATAATCATTACAATTACCACCCACCTGATACAAGGGATACACACAAGACAGACCCATATCAAGGAAAGCCTCTTCTTTTCCACCAATACATCTTGATCTACTTCCAGATTATCAAGGAGAGCTTTTAGAATCTGCCCACCTTTCTTGGTGCCACACTTGGGAAAGAAAAGCAAGCCCTTTGATCCTTCCAAATCAAGGACACTAGTACTAGCTGTAGAGCGGCTAACAATGACTTCCGTCAACATCAGAACAACTTCCTTAAAGTCACAGGAGGATTTTAGAAGCTCTGATTGGCAACAGTTTAACAGTAAAGGTAAAACGTCTTTCTGGAAGTTCACCCATTGTAAAAGATGTCTGCAGAATGTAAACATATATTTATTATCATTGACTGTGGTGAAGACTGTTGATATTATTTGTTTCTGGTGGCGGTCTCTGGAGATTTCAGTGAATGATCCAAGCAGAAGAGTTGATGTAAGTTGAAGCAGTGGGGCTGTAATGGGATCTGAATTGAAATCACTACCAAAGAACATCTGTACAACCTGCAAAAACACAATGAGAAGAACGGCAGTTAGAGCTGTTGCTAACAAGATGTCAAGTTTCTGAGTATATGCAATTAGTACAGATGTAGGAGGGAAATTGTCTGAATTGCAGTCATTTTGTCTGGAAGTCAATCTGCCCAATGACATGCAACACTGTACAACACAGCAGACACTCTTACAGGACATGTTAGTAAGTTTATATTCCATATATGCAGTCCCTCTCTAAACGCTTATTCCTTTTTTCAAGCTTGAAAAACAACAAACACATCTGGTGAATCAAGTTAACGTCAAGCAAATTGTCCTTGGGCAAATTGACCTTTGGGTTAAACATCCTGACACTGAATTGACCAGCTTAGTAGTTCCTTTGCATTTTTTTTTGTTTTTGTTTCCTATGAAGATAAATGGGAGTCAACCAATAGGAGCCAGGGGAAATACTTAGTCCATGGCCCTTAGTGACAGTCCTGGATAAAAACCACCAAAAGTACTATAAAATCACTATATTTAAAGATTTAGTTTGTGGCCTAAAGTGGTGTCTACTTAACCCACCCAACAGTCTCTCCTCTTCAAAGCACATTAGGTGCCGTGCAAGAAAGAGTAACATGCCTTCAACCCTGAAAACAACTAGGCACTATTATACACTATCATCTAGGGGTAACACAAGTACTGGTAAACCAGTAGTTTACATTGTGCCCAACTGGCTGGAGGCAAACCAGTTGGCTAGGTTTACAAGTGTGACCGAGGAGTTGAACTTGGGACTACCAACAACAAATCCAGCTAGTGTTTGGGGCCTCTGGATTACAATTCCAGTGCTGGAATTCAGGTTGGTTTGTTTGTTTTTTCTTCCAGGCCCTAGTATGATATCATACTTACATTGAATATCTTGACTGGGTCAGAAATAAGACAGCCAGATTTCCAAGAAACCCATTTATCAGTCAACCTTAACACAAGAGACATCTGACTCTTTAGAGAATCTTCTTCATTGTCACTGAACTGTTTCTCGTTGAAGAGTGTAAATAACCTTTCTAGTTCTTGAACTAAAGTCCTTTCAATGACTTGACAATGCTCCTTGACAGTATGCTTAGCTGCTCTCTCCAGCATGTGAACAAGAGACTCAAAAACCTTTTACAACAGAAATAAAGGATTAAATAATACATTAGATGTTATAATCTTAAATTAACAGTGATTGTAACTACAACAAACAAATAAGTATTTGATTCAACTCTCACTTGAATGCATAAAAAAAACTAAAAAAAAAATTAATATTGGATGTTACAGGTCAAATTTGATGTCAGGTTACTCTTGGATACTACCTTACTTGATTTTCTTTTGTCTCCCTTCTCACTCTAGGTGACAAAGGTAATTGAAATCAAATCTGACCTCTTAAGAAACCATATTATAAATTCACTTACACCCACAGGGCAAACTGCCACCAACTGTACCACCAAATTTGCTAAAAGGAGCCACATTGTGTACTAGGACGTATCGGTGGAATTCCATTCTCTGGCTGAAGATCCAGGAGCTAAAGCTTTGACAAATTTTCCTCTAACAAATTGTCTATAAAGCAAATTTTTGCTCCCTCTTCACCATTAAAGGTTAAACTACAAGATGCAAGCTTGTCAGCAATGTATTTTCCATAAGACATTTTTCATACATGTACTTCTTCTATTTCTGCACTTACAGCATGGACCAAAAATAAGACAGCAATATTCCTTATTATTGCTCGTGAAGAATGTGTCGCAAATAACAATTAACGCAAACATTTTTCCCGCAAAAATTTCCTCCAGAGTAAATATTCTCTAACTTAAATTCGCCACACAAAAATACAGTACTAAGAAATCATGTCTG